AAACTGCTAAAACTTTGTGATTGTCTTGTGGAAAGCCAAAACGTGGCAGTAACATTTTGCAAACAAACTGTGGGATGCATCGAGAGCTGACTGTATAAATATTTTGTTGAACTTGTGCTTTTTCTCTCGCCTAGTAGTATCCAGACCGCCAGCTTCCCCGGGTATTTCAACAGCTTTCTAAGTAATCTGGCTGCATCCTGTACCTAAGTAGAGAATCCAATTTGCATAAAAGGAGTTTGTTATGATCGGTCCCAAAAGAATGATGGTGTTTCAAGTAGGCCAAGAAGTGGAAGAAATCATACCACCACTCCCAAGATAAATCTAATCCCAGATCATATCCAGAAAGTATTTCAGGAAAATGGCTGCACGGTTTTGTCCAGGTCTAGGTTCGGGTCCTGTTCTATTGCATACCGTGTTACCTGGAGCTACGAGTCCAGGAGAGCAACTGGTTTTCTTTAGGGTTCCTCAAATTCTCGTTTCGCATCTGAAAACAAAACCAAACCTAGATATTATAGTAAAGCCTTATTTTTTTTTTAATGAGCCAACTAGGTTTAACCATAAGAGCACTGTCCTTTGTCCTTTCTCGGAAAATAAGTGTACTTGAACTCTAAAAATTCGAAAGGACATCTTGGTTTGATAAGAAAGCTAAATTCCATCTTTAGTGGAAGGTTCTCCCTAATAACTTTTATATTAACTGCCAAAAGACCTCCACAAAAGCCCAGAAAGGTCATTTATCCACCTGCACAGCCAAACCCTTGCTTGAGCTCAGCCTATGACTAGGCCCGAGCGGGGAAGCCGTCACTGCCCTCCAGGTACAAGGGTCAGTCCGAGGCCGTGTGACGTGAGTGTGTTCCCCGTGTATAGTACACGTTGTTGTCTAAACACGTTCTAAAGTGCCTATAAATATGCTTATACAAGTTAGCGGTATAATATCAGGATTACAGAGACATTCTTTCATATACTATAGAACAGAATAGGCCTAGAATTTAAGTTAAAGCCACACATTTTTATATCTTCGTACGTTGATTTTGGAATGCAAGCATAAATAAACAACTCTGGTTCAATCATATATTTCAGAATTAACAGTGCCAGAACAAAAATCAATAAATAAATGGTGCTTATTTAGAAAAGGCTGATTTGAGATCTGGGAGTAGGTGATGCTTACAATCCAATGGGATATCTCCAATTCTATAAAATACGAGTAGGTGGAGCTTAGTGAGTTTTCATTATAAAGAGATTGTGCAAATTTTAAAGTGATCATCAATTATTATTAAATCCAAAAATTCCATTAAAGTTGTGCCTAGTCCAAATGGCAGTTCAGGAGTTTAAAAAACAGGAACCTGGACTAAAGTTGTGCGATGTCTGGGAAGGGCCCGACCCTGACGTGTGGCCCACCTTAAAATGTGACCCCTGACCTTGCATTTCCAGGCTGTGCAGACCTGGGGGCTGATCCCAGTGGGTTTGGTGTTGGGAATGTGGGCCCATAAGAGAACATGGACGGAGCGTGTGGAGAAAGAAGCCCCACTGCATGCTCCCCGGAGTGTGCCGAGCCAGGCCTGGAGCTCAGTTCAGCACGGAGTGCAGGGTGACTGGCCACACTGCTGGGCCCGGTCCAGCTGTGAGCCCGCAGCCTCCACACCTGCCTCCAGCTGGCCACGGGCACGAGGGAGGCGAGGGCAGGGAGAGCGCCTCACACCCCCTGCCACCACAGCATCCTCTGAGCCTTGTCCCTAGAGCTCCTTAAGCCACCTCTGCGGTGCGACTTGCCGTGTGTCAGTGAGTGGGAGAGTCGTGCTGCGGCCTCATCCAGCTCCGACAGTCTGAACTCACACTGGAGAGGAAAATGCAAGTCCTGCCTTCTGAGCCCGTGGACGCTCCGGGCACCTAGCTTAACGTTCTAGGGAATCACCTGAACTGCACTGACGACCCTGGGAAAACAGTCTCCCTTGCATAATTCATGAAGGTGCCAAACGGGGGCTTCAGGCAGAGACACGGGAAGCCTCCTCTCATTTCTAAAACTACGGACTCCCGAGACACAGAAGAGACGTGGGGCAGTGCTGACGGGAACAGGACGAGGCCCCGGGCTCCCCTGTGGAGCCAGGTAGGGGTACTCCACTATCCCCGATTTTGATGGTTCTCGTTTCATTAGACCATGTTTTACATTTCCTGGATTTTTAACTATGCCTCACGCCAATATTGGAGCGAAGGCAGATAACCAGCTCACACGAGACTACCTGGTCTGATGGAGATTAGAATTCTGAAAGCCACTAAGAAAGAATGATCGCCGTTATGTGCATGTGACCGAGGAGGACGAATACAACAGTCCGTGAATATTAGTGTAGTGGAGTGAATGAACGCGACACAAAGTTTTTCTCCTGACTTAGCAGTGAGCTACAGTATTTCAACTGCTTTTGCATTTGCATAAAAAAATCCATGCATCATATTGAACTCCAGTCCATTTCCCAGCTAAGCCATTCTAATGCTTCATACAACCAAATGAAGCAGATTTAATCAAACCTATTAGATTCATTCCTAATCCCTAAAGGACGTCTGTTTTAGCATTTCCATGCTAACTAAAACTATTGATTTTTCCCTTAAGATGTCAGATGTGGCTGCTCCTAATACAATTACCTACAGAGCTTCTAAAGAGTCTCCCCAGGTCTGAAGAACAGTAAGAAAAGCAGAAATGTGGGGACTCCAGGTCCGAGGCCAGCAGCTAGGCCAGGCCCTCTCTCCCTCCCCTGTGCCCCCAGAGCACTCTGGGTGCCATTAGCTGCGTGTCATGCCCCCTGCTGGACTGTGGGCCCCTTCAGTGTGTCTTAATCACCCTGCATCCCCCCAGGACCCACGGGGTGGGTGCACAGCTGAAGCCTGGCTGAACAGAACTGAGGCAGTCGTCCTGCAGTGTAGGTCTGCCTGAGCCCGGCCGTGGGCCCACCCCCCAGCCAGTCTGGCGCGGGCTGGCCCCCCGTGAGCTCCGAGAAGTAGCGGAGGCAGCTGGTGCAGACCCAGTGCGGGTGATGGAGAGGGAGAAAAGGAAGGACTGGCAGGCGCGTTCTTCCCAGGGCACCAGCAGCAGAGGGGTGCTGGCGACGCCGAAGACAGGCCAGAGCGTCTGCAAGGGAAGGCCGGCTGCCGAGAAAACGCTGTCTCCTCCCCCACGGCCCCTGGAGCTGCTCCTCTGTGATCCTCACTTCACCGTTTTCAAAGTCCCCAGTGAAATTAAGGCTGGGTCACAGTCTGTGACACCAGATGCTACATAGGAATAGACCAAGATACAAAAGGAAACGTTTGTAATAAAAAAGAACACCTCGGTTCCAGGACTGTCGCGCTGAGCCGCCGCGCTGGGACAGGACAGAGGCTCAGCAGGCCGGCCCTCACACGGTGGTCTCGATGGTTTCGATCACTTCCAGGTCGGACTGCGAGGGGGACAGCAGGGTGCACTCGTCCGGCTCCCAGCTGCTCTCGGGGCTGTAATCTTCCTCTGAACTCAGCTCCGCCCCCCCCTCGGTGTCCTCGTCACAGGACTCCACGTAGTGTGCCCCGATGGCGTTGATCCCAGAGTCCTCGGAACTTGAGGGAGAAGAGCAGTGATCTATTTTTGGCGTGTCGCTCTCTTTTGAAATTAAGGCACCGTGTGCAGAGGCCTCCTCGGGGCTGGTCCGGAGGGAATGCGGCGCCGGCTGCTTCTGCACGTAGCACATCTTCCCGTTGATGCACTTCACCTGGTAGTTGTCGATGAAGAGGTCTGAGATCATGCAGTACCTGGGCGACTCGGGGGGCAGCGGGGGCTGGAAGACGGATGCGAACTTCAGGAAGTGCTGAGTGAGCGAGACCGAGATCTGGATGGTGTTGGTGGGCTCCCGGGGCCGGGCGGGGATCTCGGTGCTCGGGAGCCGCTCCACAGGGGTCATGGGCTGGTACACGTACTTGCCTGCGGGGACAGAGAGACAGCGAAGTCAGAGCGCGCCCAGCTCCCCGCGGCCTCGGCTCCTTCCCGAGGACCTGGTGGTTGACAAGTGGCCCGGTAACAGCTCCGGGTGGCACGGACTCGCTCCCCAGGCAGGGCAGCCGCAGCCGTCCCAGGGTTCACGCTCACTGCGCATGTGCCCTGGGCCGAGCCCTCCCGTTCTCACCCAGGTACACGGAGGGGGCCTAAATGACTGGTCCTGGTGTCCCTGCCTCGTTCTTGTTACATCACGCGACACTGAGCAAAGCCTCCCACGATCCCAGAGCAAAGGAAGCCATGATGAAAAAGTCGAAAACGGTTTCCAAATGAAACCCCGAGGGAAGGACAAATGCCCTGAAAGGCCCCAACAGCAGCCACAGCTGTGCCGTCACCTCGGGCTTGTGCTCATGAAGCCGATTAATCCAGTCACATCTGCCCAGATGTACTTGGTGGCTGCGTCAGGCACGCTGGCCACTGTGTGAATGTCACAGAGCACACCAAGGCAGAGACCAGGCCAAACCTCGGTTGTCCTCCGGGCCGGGGCCGTGGTCACTGAGCTCAGGAGGCCACAGTGGGCAGGCTGGGCAGTGCCGGGCAGGGTGCTGCCTGGGCTCGTGCTGGCCCTCGGGTCCTCTGCTTTAGTTGGCCCCTTGCCACAGCCACGTACGGACCCTAGCATGTGATTCTTGACTTCCTGAACCATACTCTGGCCCAGAGGGGTCAGGACTTCATTTGGCAAAAAGAGGAAGGGAAGAGGTGACGCCAGACCCTGGGACATCTCCATCCTCTGCCCCCAACTCTTCCCGCACCCTCCTACCCCACCCTCTCCCGCTTTCCCTTCTCCGTGACTCTTCATAATTGCGTTGCCTTCTCTGTTCTTTTTTCTCTGGTTCCCTCTTCCTCCAAAGTGCTGTTCTCTTCGTAACAGTGCTATGAGAGAATGTGTCCCACCTCCCGTGCGAGGAGTTCGGGGGAGGTGACTCCTCTGACAGGGTGGAGGTGGGGCCCCCGGGGTGGGTTCTGCACCCTTGGAAGAGGAGGAGACCAGAGCGTGCTCTTGCCCGTGAGGACCAGGGTGAGCACCGCCAGCACTGGGTCCTGGACTCCCGACCAGCAGACACGAGTGCGTGGTGGTGTGCTGGCTCCCAGGCTGTGGCACTTCACTGTGACGACCAGAACAGACCCAGGCACGCCACAGAGAGAGAGCGATGTGCTGGGAGAGGAAGGTGCAGGCTGCACTCCAGATCCCATTCCATACGAGGCCTTCTACGAGGCACACCTACTATTAAGAACTGTGCTTCTCGGGACTGGGGTGACCGCCAGACACTTGGTGATATGGGTTACAGATGCAAAGAAGAGGCGGAGAAGAAAAAATTAGTAATGATGGCCACATGAGAAACAGTTTAGTACTCATCTGTCAAATATTGCTTATTAAATAATGCTACAAGCTGAGCATCCCTGATCCCAAAATCCAGAATGTTCCAAAATCTGAAACATTTTGAGCACCAACCTATTTTTTTATTTTGAAATTATGATCTCGGCTTACAAATAATCCTTGTACGTGTTTCTGGGGAACAGTACTGTTTTCCAAAGCATGTACATAGTGCATAAAAAGCAAATCAAGGACGCAGACGTACCCTTTGTCCTCGACACTGAACCTCACATAATGCTGCACACATTCAACAGCAGTTCTAGTTTTTTATGAAAATGCACTCTGAGTTGTCCGTGACATATTTACTCAGCTGTGGCATACAGTTCTATAACCTATCTCACTTGTTTCCTCCTAAAACCCACCCCCAACACCAACCTTCTGATGCTAGCGGTGGAAAATTCCACACCTGACCTCATATTGATGGGTTAAAGACAAAATGCTGCAATACAAAGATGTTGTATAAGACGGCCCTCAGGCTATGTCGATGAGGCATACGTGAAACGAGTGATTTGTGTTTAGACTTGGGTCCCGGTCCATTTCACTGTGCATATGCAAATATTCCCAAATCTGAAAACCCAGAACCTGAGCCTCTCCTGTCCTAAGCATTTGGGATGAGGGATACTCAGCCTGTGTACTGCTTGATTTGCTCATAAACATCTAATAATGATGAACTGTCAAGTACTGAGTTTCCTAAGCACCCGCCCGTGGCCTGCTGGTTAAGACAGCCAGAACCCAGGTAGCTGACCGCATGGTCTGAGTCTACCTGGTGGCTTGAGACACACCAGGTGCGTGTGCCTGCACGCCCCAAAACCCGAAAGGTAGGAGGGGGGAGGAGAAAGGATTGCAGAGTGGCCATCTCCCATGGGGGTTGATTTCTCACAGCCCCCACCCCCAACCAAGTGTGGCACCCCTTGGCAAAGTGGGGAAAAAAAAGACTAGCTTTGTAGAGTTCAGAGGGGTTAATACTTTGCTCCAGTCCCCAGCAGTTCCTAATAGAATCTCGTGCTGTGAACCCATGCTGTCAACAATGGCCCTGATGCATCCCAAGACCCCGCATCATCAGAGAGGCCGCCATGGCTGCTCAGAACGTAAAAACCAAGGACTTATTTATTTATTTATTTATTGGAGAGGTTTTCGCTGGCAAAAAGAGGAAGGGAAGAGGTGACGCCAGACCCTGGGACATCTCCATCCTCTGCCCCCAACTCTTCCCGCACCCTCCTACCCCACCCTCTCCCGCTTTCCCTTCTCCGTGACTCTTCATAATTGCGTTGCCTTCTCTGTTCTTTTTTCTCTGGTTCCCTCTTCCTCCAAAGTGCTGTTCTCTTCGTAACAGTGCTATGAGAGAATGTGTCCCACCTCCCGTGCGAGGAGTTCGGGGGAGGTGACTCCTCTGACAGGGTGGAGGTGGGGCCCCCGGGGTGGGTTCTGCACCCTTGGAAGAGGAGGAGACCAGAGCGTGCTCTTGCCCGTGAGGACCAGGGTGAGCACCGCCAGCACTGGGTCCTGGACTCCCGACCAGCAGACACGAGTGCGTGGTGGTGTGCTGGCTCCCAGGCTGTGGCACTTCACTGTGACGACCAGAACAGACCCAGGCACGCCACAGAGAGAGAGCGATGTGCTGGGAGAGGAAGGTGCAGGCTGCACTCCAGATCCCATTCCATACGAGGCCTTCTACGAGGCACACCTACTATTAAGAACTGTGCTTCTCGGGACTGGGGTGACCGCCAGACACTTGGTGATATGGGTTACAGATGCAAAGAAGAGGCGGAGAAGAAAAAATTAGTAATGATGGCCACATGAGAAACAGTTTAGTACTCATCTGTCAAATATTGCTTATTAAATAATGCTACAAGCTGAGCATCCCTGATCCCAAAATCCAGAATGTTCCAAAATCTGAAACATTTTGAGCACCAACCTATTTTTTTATTTTGAAATTATGATCTCGGCTTACAAATAATCCTTGTACGTGTTTCTGGGGAACAGTACTGTTTTCCAAAGCATGTACATAGTGCATAAAAAGCAAATCAAGGACGCAGACGTACCCTTTGTCCTCGACACTGAACCTCACATAATGCTGCACACATTCAACAGCAGTTCTAGTTTTTTATGAAAATGCACTCTGAGTTGTCCGTGACATATTTACTCAGCTGTGGCATACAGTTCTATAACCTATCTCACTTGTTTCCTCCTAAAACCCACCCCCAACACCAACCTTCTGATGCTAGCGGTGGAAAATTCCACACCTGACCTCATATTGATGGGTTAAAGACAAAATGCTGCAATACAAAGATGTTGTATAAGACGGCCCTCAGGCTATGTCGATGAGGCATACGTGAAACGAGTGATTTGTGTTTAGACTTGGGTCCCGGTCCATTTCACTGTGCATATGCAAATATTCCCAAATCTGAAAACCCAGAACCTGAGCCTCTCCTGTCCTAAGCATTTGGGATGAGGGATACTCAGCCTGTGTACTGCTTGATTTGCTCATAAACATCTAATAATGATGAACTGTCAAGTACTGAGTTTCCTAAGCACCCGCCCGTGGCCTGCTGGTTAAGACAGCCAGAACCCAGGTAGCTGACCGCATGGTCTGAGTCTACCTGGTGGCTTGAGACACACCCGGTGCGTGTGCCTGCACGCCCCAAAAAGCCCCCACCCCCAACCAAGTGTGGCACCCCTTGGCAAAGTGGGGAAAAAAAAGACTAGCTTTGTAGAGTTCAGAGGGGTTAATACTTTGCTCCAGTCCCCAGCAGTTCCTAATAGAATCTCGTGCTGTGAACCCATGCTGTCAACAATGGCCCTGATGCATCCCAAGACCCCGCATCATCAGAGAGGCCGCCATGGCTGCTCAGAACGTAAAAACCAAGGACTTATTTATTTATTTATTTATTGGAGAGGTTTTCGCTATAGGGTGCGTGCGCTTGCCTGACAGACAGAGACAGAGAGACAGAAAGCGAGAAATCACCCCCCAGGGGGGATGGTCACGCCGCAATCCCTTTGCCTCCATTCTCCTCTCGGGATCTTGGGCACGCACGCACACGCGCCCGGCGTGAGTTTTAAGCCACTGGGTCCGGGACTCAAACCGTGGTCGACTACGTGGGAGTCCAGTGACATAGCCATTACGCTAACTGCTGGATCCCAAACCCACGGACTTCTTCAGCGGCAAGGACTGAAACAAAGGGTTTACGGCTGTGAGGGAAATTCAATAACCACTATACTCTCTGAACTTAATTAAGGGTTTACTTTGTTATTTAAAGAATAAATGGATGAGAGCTTTTAAAAATTGAAACCTCTAAGGGGAAAAGACACTCAGAGGCAGGGGGTGGAGACAAGCAGAGGGAGAGGAAAGGGCGCACTGAGCTTTCCCACCCACCCAGCCCTCCGCTCCGACACGCCCGAGAATGGAAAGGGGCACGGAGGAGACACAGCTGCGACTCTCGGAGCCGAGGGCAAGCAGCCCACATGCCCGTCTACAGATGTGGGTCGGGACAGGGGGCAGCAGCCTTAGGGAGGAAGAGAGTTCTGACACGCTACTCGACAGCGGAGCCTCTCA